CTGAATCGAACAAATGATAAAATGGTTGCGATTATTTAATAATTAATTCGATTATGCATGCGTAATACAGAAACTAAATTTTATAATACTTGCTTTAACTTCATATTATTTCTTTCGGATAAAAAGTAGTTTATAATAAAAATGTACATTCTTGTTTGAATGTTTTCTATAAGATTATGGGTGTTTTCTATTAGATTATGGATAACGCGTAGTTGAAGTCAAAAAATTTTCACTTGCTTTGAGGCATTAATACCGGAATAATAATGTAGATTAAGGGGTTAAGCCACGCTTTGGTCAGCCGGCGCTTCGAGGCGAAAGGAAATCTTTGGTTGGTAAAATTTATGTTTCCTCTCGTGGAGAGCAAGCAAAAAGAATGCGCCCACGGAGAAGGGACAGAGGCAAGAAATTCCTAAAACGTTTACCTTTTATCCTTCTGCACCGGTGGAGCTTAAAAGAAAGCGCTCGATTATTCTTTTATCGTCGCATCGCGGAAATGTACAAAGGCATGTTTTATTCTAGCTAATAAAAAGGAAACAGAAATGTCGACTGTGTAGATTCTGAGATAAATGTATGTGTATGCTAAGACAGAATGTAAAACGTCCAAATTGAACTGTAAAACTCTAATACATTTTCATTTTCGTCATCTTAATATGATAAAAATTTAAAAAGATAATCATCAACGAAAATTTACAATTTCTAATTTCTATTAATCGTTATACTCTGATAAGTAAATATATTTATACATATATATATTTATATGTATTAAAAAATTATTTTTTTATTAATTTTACAGAAAATAAACATAAGAAAAATTACGGATTTATGCTGCATTACGATGCATTAACACACTTTTGATTCAGGTAAATAGAATAATCAGTAAAAAAATGAAAGCAGTAAAAGCAGCAAAAATATTGTATTTATTTTTCTTCATTTTCTTTAGTAAAGCTTGAATTAATTTTTTATTTGCTTTAGCTGTAACCATGTTATTAATGTAAGTTTTGATTATATACTCAAGGATCTTGAATTTCCATCTTGATGACCACAATTTAATCTTAATCGTATATCGTGATACCCATTACAGACGTCCACCGCTATTTCAATCTCTAACCCAAGCAGTCAAGAATTGCGTTAATATAGCTGACTGCGAATGAAGTGCCATATTTACGGCGGTCACGAGTGCTCGGCGTTAATTCGCGCGCAACGATCCGCGCAATATGACCGTAATATCCGACCAGTGCGACGTTAATGCCCGCTCATTGGCGATCTTAATGACCGTGCGCAAGTACGAAGCGCACGCTGATTACAAGTCCGGAAGTAATATCCACGCCGATTGTTTTAGATCGGGAGTGTCCTAAGGCAATCTGCGGGTGCACTCAATCGAATTCTCGCGCAACGCATTAAGATCTCGAGTCTAGTGTGTCATCGATATCCTCATCCTCAGAGATGTGCGCTTTAATCTTCTCTTTATAATTCGTATCTGTATTTAAACAGCCGAGAATAACGAGGATGCTGTTCTTACGTTATTTAATTTTCTGCTATTGCGATGTTGAATTGAGAGATAATAATTTCTTTCTGAGTAATTAGTACTTACGTAGTCTAAGTAATCGGATTAGCGGATATCAATAATGTATTTAATTTCTGTAATGCTCTATTGTATCTTTAGGTAGTAAAAACATAAAACGATTGCGATAGTAGTTTAAAAATAATCGACAATTTGAATTATACTAATTACAAAATTGTAGCTATAATTATTAAATTTTATCATCCAATATCTAATTTGTTTTTTATTTTTTACCGTATTTTTTAACGTAAATGTAATTCACAATAGAAAATTTTCTTTAAGTAGATATATAAAATATTTTATTCGGAGCTCTCTCTTTCTCTCTATCACATTTTTGACAAGTGATAATAGATAAATCTAATGCTTAACATAATTTATAATTTAAATGCCTTTACAAGTACGAATACATTTCATTATGCACACATAAAATAAAAAAAAATAGATCGTTTTGGGTTGGCATAGCGAAAGATACCTCTTTCGCATTTCTAGATCAAAGACGCGATTCTATTCTACATAGCATGATCCTGAATTACTTTCATTAAAGGGAGAGCTATCAGTCGAGAGAGAGAGAGAGAGAGAGAGAGAGAGAGAAGGAAACTATGTTAAAACATCCTCCTATCTCCAGTATCGCCAATTATTCCCGTCACTTTAATTATTCTCAATTTTATTATCGGAGAACGATGAAAGTGTGTAACACGTAGAGTCACGGGAACCGGCGACCCTTCCTGACAGATCCTTTGCATAATACCGTAACCACGAGACCGCTGTGGCGAAACTTCGGCGGTGACCTGATAAAAGTCTGCGACCGCAGTTTGCGAGAGCGTGCAGAGCAAGTCGTGGCTATGGCGGGAGGAAGAGGGTGATCGTGGGTGCACAGGCGATAAGTCGCAGAAAACGAACTAATCAAGGCATTAATCTCCTTTACCAGGCGAGCGGACTCACCGACGAGAGAAGCGAGAGAGGATGAAAGGGTTGAGGGGTAGAAGGGGGGGGGGAGAGCGTGCACGTATATATGTATGTAAATGAATCTAATTCCTATTCTCGTCGGTGCCTTCGGTAGAAAATGGCGGCGTCGTAAAAATGTAAATCTTGCTTTGAATAATATTCACCCCTCTCCTCCTCTCCCGCCGTATGGCCACCGGAAGTAGCGGTATATGCGCGTGGGAAAGGAAGAAGGGCGGAGGTGCGAAGGAGCGAAAGGGGAACAAAATAAAACATCACGTACGACAAGAAGGCAGAGAAAAGAGACGGACAGTACAGGCGGGGAGGAAAGAGAAAAAGAGGATGAGAAGTGCAGGTTGCGGCGGCGGCGGCGGCTGCGGCGGCGGCGGCGGCGCGAAGTCGGGAGAAATAATGAAGGCGAGCGCGCGAGAGAGGCAGAGAGATGCGAAGCCGTGTAGGTCGAATAACGGGAAATGAGCTTTACTACGCGCCTTTTACATGTAAAAGAGAGAAGGAAACGGCTGTTATACCAAAGAGACAGGATAAATAATGCCGACGATGCGCGTTCTTCTTTGAAATCGAGTCAACGTGATTTATTGGTAATCCGATAATGTCTCTGGGTTTCTCGATGCCGAACCATTAAAGCAGAAGTTTCTCTGTCTTCGCAGTATTTGAAGTATATGCCATCCTCATCACGATATGTCACATTTATAACACACGAGAAACTGAATGTATTGGCATGTAAGAAAGTTCGTGAAGAAACTTTTACTGCTTTTAGTTTAGCAGCACTTTAACGCAAGTTTTTCAATTATTACATCAAATTGTTTATTTAATTTACATAATTTAATTAAATTTGTTTAACTAAATTTATTAAATAAATACTTTGACGTTTGACACTTTACCAATAATTCAATTTCCACACGATTCAATTAACACGCGAATCCTTTGTTGAATAACGTTCATTAACATGTTGTCAATTACACTTTTATTAAACAGAAAATGAAGAAAATATATATGTGAATAAGTAAGTATATGCGAGAGAGGGAGAGTTGTAAAAAGAAGGCAAACAGAGCGCGAGAAGAAGTAGAGAGATAGATAGTTTCGATGGAGAGACGGGTTGCATCGGAAAGTACTTGGATACCCGCAGCGTGCCGTTAAGCGTCGCGGATACTCTCGTTAGCTCAGCCTGCTTACACGGAGGGTGGCTGTTTCAACGATGGTTTCCGTGTTTACGAAGGGCATTACTAATATCGCATAAAGGAAGCGAATAAAAAGGATACGCGCGTGCAAGTAAGCAAGCGAGATCGCGCGAGTGCGGATCCAGCTCGTAAAACTTGACATAAACGGACGTTGGTAATGTTGGTAGCAGTAGGTGAGGAATTGTACGATGAATCAGTAGAATACGCCCCGAGAAACTCGAGCGAGAAAGCTAAAGGTTCCCGCTCGAGTGTCATATCGATCTTTGTACTGACCTTATTGGTCAGTACAGTGACACGTAGAAGAAGGCTGCCGATACTGACATACCACTTTGTTTTTCAATATTCCTTAAAGCAGGGCTAAAAATTTTCAGAAATATAAATTCCAACTATCTCTTGTCAAATAATATAGCGGTTTTTCTAATACTGTTTGCAATTTTTCAATAATTAAGTTTTTCGTAAAATAAGCAAAAATAAACGTCTAACAAAATGGGCTCCAAAGCTGACATAGTAGACAGTTACGCCACATATTCCTATTCCTTTTCTTTCACAGAAGTCATCTGTACAAAATACCTACAAGTGAATTGTATCTGTATAAGATTTTCTAGAATCTTTTCACTTCGATATAAAATGTTTTTTGTTAATTTATATGCATATATTCTGCAAGATGCAACATGTAACGCGACACTATAAAGATTAAGTTAAAGTTTAGTTTATAGCATATCTTACAGACAGGTTTGCTGATTTAAGCTGCACCCCGATATACTTAAAACTGAATTACGAAAAAAATAAGAAAGGAAAAATATAAATAAAACTAATTAAGGAAATTACAAACATGTAAAAAAAATAATATAATATTATTAATAACTATTATTTTTTAAACTATGCAATTTACAAAAGAAAGTCGTAAAAAGTTTAGGTAAACCTTGACAAAAGGGGACCCAGCTCCGATGACCTGACATATGTTGTCAAGGTCATAATTCTGAGTAACCTTGAACAAATTTTAGCTCGCGCTCGTTGTTCGTTAAAAAGTTATTAACAAAAAAAGTTTGAAAAATATCGCTAAATGTATGGAATATCTGTGTTGTTCAATATGCATTTGCACGAGTTTAGGTTAGGGTTAAGTTATATATAATCATGCGTACATAATAACCAAACCATGGTATATGGTTAATTAGGATTCGGTTATTATATACGCATGCGTATATAATAACCTAACCTAACCCTAACCCTAACCTAACCACATGCCATGGTTTGGTTAGGGTTAGGTTAGGTTAGGTTAAGTTATTATATGCCTGCAGAGCCATAAGAGGATATAGAACGGTAAGCTTTGCTACCGCGACTATATTGGCCGGTACACCGCCTCTGCTACTAAAAGCACAGATGTACGCGAAAGTATACGAAGCCATGCAGGAGTACCGCTCACAAGGACTAAAGCAAATTCCCCCTGGTGTGGCGGAACCGATAAGAGTAAGGGAAAGAAACAGGATGTTCCGCGATTGGGAAACATGGACAAGAAGACCTGGTCAATCGGGAGGGGAGGTTGGGATTGCACTCCGACCCCATTTCCAAAAATGGGCCAAGGCGAAGATCGGCCTCACATACCGATGCACCCAAATACTGACGGGCCATGGGTGCTTTGGGCAGTACTTGCACACAATCAAGAAGGAAGAATGTGCCAGGTGGTGCTGGCACTGCCCGGCCAGGCTGGATACGGCCCAGCATACGCGGGAGGAGTGCCCGGCTTGGGAGCAAGATAGAAGAGCGCTAATCCGGGACGTCGGAGACATATCGGATACTGCTCTAATCAAGGCTGTACTCGATGATGAAAAAAGGGAGGCAGTCCTTCGTTTTTGCGAAAGCATAATGAAAACAAAGGAGGAGGCGGAACGCGCTCGTGAGCGAACGCCCGACGACAACGGGAAGGAAATTAATTTGAGGTAGGCACTTGGCTATGCCGAGGTTAAAAGCGGGTCTGGGCCTGACTTGGATCCGTCTGTTCTCGGGGATGATGAGCGGGTGACTCATCATTCCTCGGCTATAGAACCTGGGGTCTGGCGGTGAGGGGGGAGGTGGTGTCCCCTCCCTCACTGCGGATTAGAGAAGTGATTGAGAAGTGCGCAAGCGCTTCAGGCGTCAGGACGGGGAGGTGAGTACTGTGTCCAGAGCCCTCTCCGTCCTGACTCAGCGCCTAAGGTAGGACACTCGCTGGAGTTTTAGTGGGTATGCCCTGGACCGTCAGGTCTGGGGTGAGTTCCACATAACCTGCTCCTTCTCCCCGGAAGAGCGGGTATGCGTAACGCATTTCCCCAGCGTAAACAAACAAAAAAAAAAAGGTTATTATATGAAGATTCAAATAAGCTTAAGCAGGGAAATACAAGATATTGAAAAATGAAACATTATTATCTTACACATTAATTATTTATTGGATATAATTTACTCATTATTTAAAAAAATTTATCTATACGCTCATCAAAGGCATATATTCTTTTGAACAAATATTCAGCTATATAATATTCATAATGGTATTCTCGAGTATTAAAACGTGGGATATTAGCTCGCAATTCTCTCCATAATCTTTCGATTGTGTTGATAATCTTTGTTTTGTGTATGAGCTCCGGTATTAGGATCCACAAAATTCTCAGAATGATTAACAACTTTGTGTATATAATTTTCATTATTAAGAGTTGCATGTGCACGCTAGCAATCACTATGAATAATCGATCCAGGAGCAATATATTTACCAATTAATGGTAATAAAGTTTCCGAACGTCGATTTTCTACAGGTATGATAAACTCTTTTCGTGTTGCGTTCTATTCCGCCAAATATCCACTGTCCTTTCAAGATACGATCCTTATTAAATTTTTTTTGCCAAGTTTCGCTTCGTCTATTTCTACAATTATGCCTGGTCCATCAAGTGGTTGCTGTTCTTTTGCTAACCAATCCTTTAATAACTAATGCAAATAAGAAGAATATAAGGATATTCATACAAAGATGTATACTTTATTTATACATCAACTTACCTCCTTGCAAAAATGTGTCCAATCAATAATGGTTTTCTCGCATATTTCTAATTTATTGCATAAAAAGTAATGTCGTGGTGATTTTATTATCAAAAAATATGCAATGAAACGAGAAATCTTTACTATGTCTAAATGAGCTTTAGCAAACCAAGTGCCGTTCAAAATGCTTATCTTAAAGTTGCACGTTATACGTTGTCTTTTTTGTTTGCGTACAGTTTTATAATATTTATGAAGTACAGTGAGTAAGAAAATTTTTGGATATATTTTGAGTTAATACATTTCCACATTTTTCACATTGAATACTACTGCGAATAACTTGTTTATTAATGAAATACTGTATCAAAGCATCAGAATTATATGTTAAATGTATAAATTCGTGTAAATGCATTATTACTAATGACACTGTCACTTATATCAAAATATCACAGAGCTCGAATCGTACACTTGGACAAACTCAACGAAACTGATAGAATTTATAAACAGAAGATAATAAGAAACGAACTTGAAATTCACGAGTGCCATAACATGATATATTGGCACACAACTCTCTCCACAGGGGGAATTGGGGGGGGGGGGGTGAGAACCGTGTACGAACGTGCGTTCCATTCCATACATTTAGCGATATTTTTCAAACTTTTTTTATTAATAACTTTTTAACGAACAACGAGCGCGAGCCAAAATTTGTTCAAGGTTACTCAGAATTATGACCTTGACAACATATGTCAGGGTCAAGGTCATCGGAGCTGGGTTCCCTTTTGTAAAGGTTTACCAAATTTTATTTTCGCGTTTGCAGAATTGGTTTTAGCTGATTTTATATAGAAACAAGTCACGAATACTTATATGCATTACAGATTTTTGTTTTTTTAATTATATAAACAAATCATGTTTTTATCAGTGTGATACTCAAAAAAGAAGTATTTAATTTTGAAATATTAAAATGTTTTGTTTTTATTTCCGTTTTTCAAACATTAAAAAATGTTTTATACGCTTTCAATAAACAAAACACTAATATGTTCCGATTTAAAACACTAAAGGCTACTTCGACCAACTCTAATTAATTTTAATCGACGATTAGTCCAGTGGAATCGATCAATCGCATTTGTCAACGATAGATGCGGTTGGTCAATTTCACCGGATTAACCGTCGATTAAAGTTAATCGGAGTCAGTCGAAGTGGCCATAAACATTTAAAATCGAAATATCTTTTATTATTAAACGTTGTTTTGCAAAGATGTTTTAAACCCTGCACTTTTTATACAGCGTAATAAAGTGAAACAGTTTTCGAGAAATAAGTGCAATGGGTGTCCCTTTAGGAGACCTGTGTCAATATCGGGAACTTATCTTCATCCATTTCAGTCGTTTTTTCAGAGAATATTCATTTTATTGAACGTCGATCGCATTATTAATACCAGGTGATTCATAATCACGTTAGCGTGACGCCATCACGACGACGGCGACGTTTCGCTTTCTACAATGACAGCATGACGGCAAACGTCGTAGTACAAAAGCGACCGCGAGACCATCAAGCACTGTGAGGTCTAAGCGAGATTCAGATGACACGTGAGCTATGAACGTCATCCATAATGCAGGCTTCGGTACTTCGCGGCGATGTCATCGCTAGCAGGAATATTTATTGGCACGACTAAGCCGCTACGCTCGCTAAATTTATAGCACATTCAAAATCTTTGGTTAATGGTGATGAGTCGCCATTATTCGTTCATGTCAAAAACCGCACATAGAACATCATATATAACATACCTGTCAGGCAGACCGAGCCGCTATGTTGCAGCCCGTAACAGCAGCGGAAGCATTTGTTCGAATTAATTCAAACCGCTTTACATAAAGTACATTAATTATTTATTTTCTTTACGTCAAGTACAGTTGATAACTCGATTGTCAACTTGAGATACATGCAATTTCTAAGATAAACGAATACGCAAGCGTAATTTATGTTTTATTCAATAAGACATCCCCCTATCCATCTATTTTACCTTGTTTTACATACAAAATTTACTTTAAGATATGTAGATCCGCGAATCGCAAATAGACGGCAAAATAAACTTACGCAGCTAGAAATTAAACTGAAAGCGTCTCTATATGTTTATTGTGTTACGTAGAATTCTAGAATTTCTCGGTTATTATTACTTCATTTCCATCATTGTCTCTTTCGACGTTTATCGTATTTCCTCGGCGACAAGCTGCTTATTTCCGCGAAAGTCTCGTTTCATGTGATGCATCGGCGGCGCGCCTCTTCTTTTCCTCATCTTCCTTATACGATATTAATGTCGTTTCTAGCAGACACAAAGCATAGGTGCAACGTGCATCATATGAGGCTTATCTGGCCCCCGGCGCAAACGCGCGATGTATGCAGCTGGAACGCTGCACTGCGTGCATGCCTAACTAACCCGCCGACATAACTTCCTCCCGAGGGAAACCTCCGTTTTTGCTCGCTTTAATCCCGGACTTTCTCGCTGTTACGCCATACTCGTTCTAACTCACACTTTTATCGTTATCGCATTGTACTTGATTAAGCACAAGGTGACCATTCTCCATGCGAGCAAAACAATACAAGAAACCCAAGGATAGCAGCTTTCCAAAAAAAAAATAAAAAATAAAAAAGAAAAAAGAAAATTTTACTCTTAAGAAAAAGACAAAATGTTTGCGTTTCTTTTATATGTTTATCAGAATAATTTTATTATAAAAATTATTATATCAGAGAATATCTCTAAACTGTCAATGTCACGTTCTTCAAAAGAATATTATAAGAGCTCTACAGAGATAAGCAAAGGAGACAACGTTATCCCCAGAGATGAATCTAGACTGCCATCAATTCAAATTATACGTATGCTTTCGCAATATTATGCATCTTGAATTTTCACGCCATAGCGCGGGAAATTTATGTTAATTAATGCTGTCGGCTAACCTGGTTTCGGATTAGACTACAACATACTGCAACGGAGGCCACGTGCTGACACTTGTGAGTAGAATGCGTTGAAACAACCACGTTGAAGGGAACATAACCCTCAACGTATATATTTTTTAGAGAAAAGTTGATATGTTTTTTTATTTTTTAATTCTAATTACGTATCCTGTTCTATCCTTGTTGCGCTTATTCTAGGATCCCACATAATAATTGTCATATCTTGTTTACATCTTATTCGACCCAGTGTTTCCCACGAATGTTCCCTTTCACTCGAATTCTCCTTCTGTCCAAGCGGCTATCATACCTCTTTAATCGCTTGAGATATCGCACGTCGGACCCTTGCTAATCGCAGATGAATTTCTTTCCGGCGCGTCACGTGGACCCTAATCCTTTACCCTTTCGTCCTTTACTCTTCTCTTCGCGCCTGCCTGTTCTACTTTGTCGTTCCCGTTTTGTATCACGGAGAGCATAAGCACGAGAGCATTAATAATTGCGTAAACACGAGAGCATAGAGCAAGCACACCATGCGTGTGTGTACGTGCACGGCTTAACTATCTCGTAACAGTGGATAAGCTATGGCTCGTAAAGCTCACAGCTTCCCCTTTCGGCCCGCACCGCGAATAAACATTCATTAACGTGCAATTAACGATATTAAAAATAACATCACGATGTTATTTTTATTCGGTCCTGTATAATGCATCTTCGACCTAATGGTCGAACAGGACAGGAATCGCCAGCGGTGTCAATTCCTTATTTAGTAAATCGATGCTCAGATAAACAATTGCAGAAAAGCAATAATTGAACAATCATTGTTTACGACGGTGTATTACCTTTAGGCTAAAGGTAATACACCGTCGTAACACACTCACCAAGGAAATTTATTATCCGTATTACAATGACGTTCGATAATGGTACTAATTGAAAACTTTTAAAAGCCGATAAAAGAGTACTTTTTTTATGACAGTATATTTAATTATATTGAATTTAATGTTTCTCAG